TAATTGGCTTTCTAACCGGCATCGGTTAGGAAGAAGGCGTGAACTTTCAGTTAAATGCCCTTCTGCGTTGTTATGCAATAAAGACTTGTTGGGGCACCTATTGTAAAAATTAAAAAAAAAATTTGAAAAAAAAAGTATTTATACTGAAGATCTTTTTAAATAATATTTGAAAAAGATCAAAACATCTATCATTTCATCAGAAAGCGAACTACAAAACTTTGTGACAAATCTGGAAGACGAGGAGAAAACTCTTTCTGCTTCCGAGGAAGTTGCTTGAATTCTGTGGATGGCTAGTTCAAATTTTAAAACTGTTTCTGATTTCACACCAGTTACTTCATATTCTTTCAACTGATCGGTGAAGGTCTTGACTTTTTTTGGTTTTTTAGCTGCTGATTGATTTTGAATTAGAACTTCTTGAATTTCGGAGAAAAAAGATGTCGATTGTGATGGTTCTTCTTGTTTGTTTTTAGCGTGATCATCTGGTTTTGATTGGAGACTATTTTCTTTTGTTGCAAATAGTTGATCAAATAATTTTGAAGCATAAATTTGAATATCTTTTTTGGAAGCGTAAAAAAAATGTGTGGTTTTTATTTTTAAAAAAATCGGGATTGTGCAAATAACGACTCAATGATACCAACATAACGTTTTTACGATCTTCATATCTGGAGATTTAGGTCTCTGCAAAATTAGAACTGATGTCAGTTTCTGCAACCTTCAATTTCCTTACTAACGTTTCCATAATAATGTCACACTCCAAAATTGTTGTATTTGGTTTTTCCAAGCGAACTGCAGCGTCAGCAACGACTTCCAATAAGTCAGACAGCGATTTTAAGAAATCCAAGTCAATTTCAGCTAACATGTTTAAGCAGTTTAGCTCTTCGAGTGTTTTTTTTACAGCTTCTAAGCAATCCAGAAATCTTTTAATCATCTTAAAAACACTGTTCCATCTTGTTCGGTTGTCGAACAACAGTCCTTTGTCATGCGAAGATTCGTATATTTTGTGTATTTTTCTTTTAAGAACTTCATATCGAAACGATGAATGTTTCAAAAACTTAATTAGTATTCGAAGTTTCTGTAGATTTTTTTCGATATTTTCTTCATACTCAATCTCATTCTCCGAATATTCAATAAGAAACTCTCCTTCAGACTCTCCATCAGTTTCTGTGTCTGTTTCAATAATCGATTCAGTTTCTTTGTTCACAATTTTGCGACAATCTTTTTTAGCGTATATCAAATCACAAACACTCAAATGAATTGAATGATTCTGGCAGATCTGATGTGGAAACTTAAATATGGTACCCAATTTCACCATCCAACTACAGCCATCCGTAGTTTTACCTGCAATATCTTCACTATCTATACCAAATTCTTTTAATTTTTCCATTATCAAAATGTTTAATGTTTCAGCAGAACTAGGAGATGGCAATCTCATCATTCCTAAACAATACGTTCTGTCGTGATGAACATTTAAATTGTAGTATCTTTTACCTCTATTGCTACACCATTCGTCACCTGTTAGTCCAAACTTTTCTCCTTTTGCTTTCAATGCAGCCAATTCAGCGATCATTAAGTATTTGGCTTCAGCATGAAACATCTTAATTTTTTCTGAAATTGCGGACGCTGACTTAGGCAAACTATGCCCGTAATTTTCAAAAAGCATTCTTAGTGTTTCAGATTGAGTTATGGACCTAATCGAATACCCATCAAGAGCTGTCAACTTGGCAAGAAGATCGTTTAATGACATTTTAGTCAAAACTGGTCTGGAACTGAATGGTTTCAAATCTATTTTCTCGCAACTTTTGACGTGTCCAATAAGGTCGTTTGTGCTGCTTCCTGGACAAGCGATTCTTTTATGACATTTTTTGCAATCTCCATACTTCTTATCATTTACCACAACTTTATTAAAGTACTTCCACGCTTCCGAAACCATTTTTTTCTATGAAAGAAAAATTATCAATTTGATAATGACCTCCCATATTTGTTTTTAATTTTATTTTAATTGTGAAAAGTTATCACATTTTAAGTTATTAAGTTATTTATTCTGATAGGTAAGTATAATTAAACATTAATTATTATTATTATTTATTTTCACTGATAACATTTTATTGCAAAATTTTGCCACAATGCTCAGCGGGCCGGATTTTAGACTTATGGTGGACAAAATTATTTTGATCATACAAAATACGACACTACTTGTATAAAATGAAAGTTTTATATGTTTTATATGTTAAAAACTTACCTCGTTATTTTACGACCAGTCTTTGTTTATATTATAAATAATGATCTTGACTAAACTTTTTTTTTGTAAAGGTAAACTATTGAGTAGTTAAAATATATAAACTAATATCACATTCGCATAATATTTTAAAAGTTACTGTTTATTATATCTTTGCTTAAAAATTAAAAAATTCTTGCTTTTTATTATGCATTACATTTTATTATACCGCAATTGATTTTTGTGGATTTAAAAAAATACTAATACTAAAAAGATACTAATATACACAAAAGAGTTTTTGAAATAGTACAATGGAAAAGTATGAGCATGTTTTAATATATGGTTTTGAATAGAATAAACTTTTTTTGAGGTTTTTTTCACCATCATCACCTGGCCCACTGTGCATTACCAATTGCTTTGCGATGTATATTAGTGTTGTTATTAAATGAAGAGAACACTTACATTTGAAACAATTTTTAAAATTACAATTTACAATTGTAAAAACCACGTAGAAATAAAATAAGAATTCAATTATTTTACGAATAAAAAATTGGTATTTTCTAAAAACTTCGTCGAAGTTTCGTCGAAGTTTCTCGATTTGTCTCGAACTCCAAAACTCCGAAAAACCGAGAAAAATCTGTCGAGACGGAGTTCCGAATGGATCCACTGCTTCTTGTGCGGCTGCTATATCCAATCGTAATCTTTTTTTTTATCTTTTTCAAAAGAACAACTCTCTTGAGAACAAACGGCTATTTATTATTGCAAGAAATCGATGTAAAAAGGTGCTTTCTGATGCTAAACTCCATTATTCTCAGTTCACTAAATCTCGCATCTTATCGCAGAAGTTAGGCTCTAAAGACTTTTGGAAAATCTTCAACAGCATTGTTAACAAGGGTAGATCTAACATTCCATCTCTCATTCATGGGACTGATCTTATTACCTCTCCCAAGGATAAGGCAGAACTATTTGCAAAGAACTTTTCTTCTAATTCCACTCTTGAATCTTATGGACATTCTCTTCTTTCCATTACAGTCAAACAGGTTGACCCATTGTTAGACATTAAAATCACTTCGGCTTCTGTTGCTAAAGTCATATCTCAATTAAACTCGTCTACAGCTTGTGGTCCAGACAACATTCCTGTCACAGTCTTGCAGAATTGTTCTCCAGAACTTTCTTCAATTCTCTCTAAACTATTTAACAAGTGTTTGACTGAGTCTTGTTTTCCTGCTTGTTGGAAAATGGTATCTGTGGTTCCAATATTCAAAAACTCTGGAGAAAATTCTGACCCCTCCAATTATCGTCTGATCAGTCTTCTTTCTGTTATTAGCAAGGTCTTTGAGTCTTTGATCAACAAATTCCTCACATCTCATCTTGAGTCAAATAAACTGCTGTCAGACAATCAATACGGTTTTCGATCCTCTCGCTCTACGGCTGACTTGCTAACTGCTGTAACTGAAAGATTTTATCGTGCATTAGATGGAGGCGGTGAGGCTAGGGCTATTGCTCTCGACATATCTAAAGCTTTCGACAAAGTTTGGCATGCTGGTCTTCTCCATAAGCTTGCTTCATATGGTGTTTCTGGGAAAGTTTTTGAGATTATCAAATCATTTCTTTCTAACCGGTTTATTAAAGTCATCCTTGAAGGCCAACACTCTTCTTTATTTCCAGTAACTTCTGGGGTTCCCCAAGGTTCCATCCTGGGCCCTGTTTTGTTTCTTATCTACATAAACAATCTTCCTGACAACCTTTCATCTAAAGTAGCTCTTTTTGCTGATGACTCAACTTTATACTCCTGTCTTGACAAAAAGTCTTCTCTTTTCGATCGCCTAGAACAAGCAGCTGATCTTGAATCTGATCTCACTTCAGTAATAGATTGGGGTTCCCAGTGGCTTGTGAATTTCAACTCTAAAAAAACCCAATTGCTTACTGCAAACAACTACCGTAATATGGTCAACATTCTTATATTAATGAATGGCAATCCTCTTATTGAGTCCTCCTCTTTACGTCTTCTTGGATTATCGCTTACTACTGACCTTTCATGGAAACCATATATACAATCGATTGCTAAATTAGCTTTTGCTAAGGTTGCTTCTCTTTATCGTGCTCGCCATTTTCTTACTTCTGATTCCATTCTTTACCTCTACAAATCTCTTATTCGTCCCTGTATGGAATACTGTTGTCATATTTGGGCTGGTTCTTCTAACAATTCACTTTCTCTACTTGACAAGGTCCAAAAACGCATTGTAAATGTTGTTGGACCTGGACTATCTGCTAAGCTTGAACCTCTTTCCCATGGTCGTAAAGTTGCATCTCTTTCTCTTTTCTACAGATACTATCATGGTCACTGCTCAAAGGAGTTATCATCTCTAGTTCCATCAACTAAAATTCAATCTCGTTTTACTTGTCATTCAGCTCAGTCTCATTCGTTTACTGTATCTGTCCCTGCATGCTCTAAAAACTTTTATTCATCTAGTTTTTTTCCCCGCACTTCAATCCTTTGGAATTCTCTCCCATCTTCATGTTTTTCTGACTCATACAACCTTCAACTTTTCAAGTCTTCTGTCAAACGTTTCCTTGCTCTATAACTCTGTTCTTTTTTTTTTCCTAGTAACTCCCAACTTAATAGTGGTTGCTTGCAGCCTTGTTGGGAGTGAATGCAAATAAAAAAAAAAAAAATGTTTGTTGAGTATGTATCATACTTTTGAATCAATTTTTCTTTGCTTAGTTTTATTTTTGCTTTAAAAAATTTTTAACATTTTTTTTAAAATTAAATTTAACATTTTAGTATGCTCCCTTTAAAAAGAAACGAAAAGGTACTCTAGCTGAAAGAGCACAGAGTTTAGGTTTGAATACTGCTGCAGTAGAAATTTTCAGAAATCCTGAAAAAACAATCTGTTTTAAGAACTATCTAGATTATTCAAATGGTATTTAATTTCTTTGTTTTTTAATGATGTTGTTATTGTTTTGTTGCATTCATTAAAATTGTAGTAGACTTGTTGTACTCTTTGATGTTGTTGTGAACTTATTGTATTAATTTATTTAATGGTCTTATTTCTTCCTTTTGATTTAAACAACTTTTAAATCATTGTTTATTTTTTCTCCTAAGAGTTGACATCAGAAACACAAGTAAAGACTGGAGTTATGCACATTCTTGCTCACCAGATCTCAGTAAATGTTATAGTAAAGACGATACTAGACAGAGAAATGTAATTTATTTTTATTTTTATTTATGTTCAACCCAAAAGAATTGAGAGGAGAGGGATTGTTTTTGCTAACAATTATTTATGCCTTTTTCACTATGCTATATTTTTTAATAGTCATGTCTATAGTGATTTTTTTTATTTATTTTTTACTTTTAGTGGAATTCAAAATCTTAAAACAATCAGAGTGTTTCCAGTTAATGGATGAATTTAAAATTTTATAAACATGGGATTATTTGTCATTTGTATAATGCTCATTTATTGTTATTGTAGAATATCTAAAGGTTTCTCCAATAAAGCTAGGATTATAGTTACCCAAGAAAGCCTGTAGAGAATGTTAGATTTAGTTCTGTGGATCTTTTATTGTTTTTTGTTGTTGTTTATTTATTAGTTGTAGCTAAGGTTGCTGGTATTATGCCTGTACCTTAATTGTACTTTAGTAGTATCTCCTTTTTTAATAAAAATATTTTGATTAACTTTATTATATAAAAATAATGAATCAATAGTTTTCTTATACAATGAAACTGGATTTTGGCAAAAGTGACCCCTAGTTGATGGATTCCTTGAGTTTTTTTTCTTTTCTTTTTTGGAAGGGGGGGGGGGATGTTCAGATGAAAGAGCATTACTTTTGGCATGTTAAATATATGCTTTTTTAACCATATTTATGAGAAATTCTTACTTTTTTGTGAACTCAAATTAACTTCCATGAGTTTAAAATACAGCAGTATATTTCATTACTTTATAAATTTCTTTATAAACTCAAATTAAGCCTAGTCTAGTGTACTTTTTTCTTCAAATATAGTTGTGTAATTTTTTCTTCATATCTTAAATTGTACCAACACTACCATTTTGGTTACTAAATATAAGTATGAAAGTCTTTTAAAGAATTTAAATTCTGAAATGTTAAATTCAAGATTTAGTTTGTGGACAGTAGAGCAGGCTATTTTTTGCTTATTGTAATGGTAACATTGAGCTTAACGCTGTATGTGCAAAATATCGAGTTACTTAGCCAACATTGAAAATATATATGATAATCAAAATATAAGTGCAAATGAGTCAAATAAACAATAAGGTAAGTGCAGTAACATGACTTCTGATGCTGAGAAAGAGTTAATTGAACACATCTTGAAACTGGAATTGCAGAAAAAAAATTATTTTTTTAAATAATTTTGATAACTTGTTTAGTTTCCCTAAGCAAGAAATCACTGTTGTGATAATAAATATTTTTTAATTTTATGATATTGTAAGAAGTTGTAAAAAATAAAAGTCACTTTTAAAGCATGAAACTTATTTTAAACAATAAAAAGAAAAAAAACCAAATTTGATTTCAAAAAAAAACTTTGATTCTTTCTTCTAAATGTTTTGTAAAAAATCATAAATAATTTATCTCAAATTGGTAAACTTTATTCAGCTACGACAATGCTAATCAATGCTATCAGTTGAATGGATACCAACCCAGTTGATCCTATAAATACTATAAAAGTTATTTCTCTCCGTTTCCTAATATTTGTGCTAAACTTAAAATTTGTGGACTAAAAATAATTTATTTTAATTTTACTAAAAATAAAAAAAATTCTTTTTATTAACCAAAACTTTTTGTGAAAAAAGGTTAGTGGAAGATCAAATTAACATTCTTGTTAGTTATTAATATTACATGTAATACTATCAATTTTATTAGGCATAAAATAAACTTTGTCCCAAACACTTGTTTGCCCATATCAACACAATTTTTTAATCAAGTATGTTATATGGAGACTCTACTAGACTAATTTTAAATGATAGAACTGGTATTGCTTACATTATAATATCTATTGGTCTTTTCTGATAAGAAAATAGTTTCAAGAAATTTCTACATTTCTACATTTGTATCTTATATGTTTTTGATTATGAATCTTTGAGAAACTTAAGTTTTAATCCCAACAAATCAATGAACAAAAAACAAGCAAGTTTTTGGTTTAATATAGAATATTTATAAATAAAAAATATGATTTATGAACATAAAATGTTTATGATTTAGAGGGTATTCTAGCATTTCCATTACCACAAAGGCATCAACAAAAGGTATAGAAAATGACAAAAAAAAACTTTATGAAAACTACTACAAGTTCAGCAGCTTGCTCTCACAGATTTATTCTCATCAAGTAAAGTGTTACTTATATTTATATATATATTATATATTATAGCATTATTGTGACCTTTTATAATACTTTCCATATTTTTTGTGCAACTGTAGCTAACTTTAGTTGTATTTCGATTAAATATTTTATGTAATTTATTAGAGGGCAAAAATTTGTGTCCACTAATTTAAAAACACTTTTCTGATGTTAGTAGCAACATTTTTGCTATGTGGGTGGTGTTGAACCAATCATGTTTCAACTAGGGGTTGAACTAAATTATGTTTCTTGTTTTGTTTAGGTTTTTTGCTTTTTTTTTTCTGTCAGATCTGTAATCAATTTTCTATTGGCTTTGTAATCAATATATTGAGTTTTCTATTTTTCTATTGAGCCTGTAATCAAGTCAGTAGTTTGTGTCCACTTTTTATATATATATATATATATATATATATATATATATATATATATATATATATATATATATATATATATCTGTGTGTGTATATATACAAAAGTCAGCAATGGTCATTTTTCTTATATTTATTTGTAAAATTTTCTAGAAAAATTGTTAAAAAGATTATACAGTTGACATAGAAATTTGCAAACTTTAATATATATTTAGATTGCTTTTTTTATTGAAACAATTTATTATTTTACCAATTTTTATTTTGTGTTGAATTTCTTTTTATTTTTATATTTAAAAAGTTCCTTTGTTACACTTCTTCTGTGTGAAACTTTTTTTTTCTCATTTGAAAAGTTTAAATAAGAAAAAAAGTAGCGCACCGAAGTAGCTCCAAGTGAGAGTAAGTAATTTGAGAAAATAATTTTTTAATATATTTTTTTAATTATTTACCTCCCTTAGGCCAAGAAGACCACTACATTAAAGGAGGCTACTTTTGTGGTTAAAATCCTCTCTCTATACCTCCGAAACATAAACTTTGGCAAACAAGGTTGCTGCACAAAGAAACAAGTTGAGCGCAGTACTACCAGGGACATGGTGGGGATCAAACTTAGAACTTCTTGCTTATGAGGCAAGCACTCTACACCTACACCACTACTGAAATAAATAATTAAAACTTGAATGAATGTGTTCGATAATTTTTAAATTGTTTTTGTTTTAAGTATTTCAAATTTAAACCAACAATTTGTTATAACAGTTTATTAATAAAAATTTAATTCAAGTTTTAAACAATTGTGTATTTCATTAATAATTAAGTAGTATTTTAGATACTAAGTAAAAAAACATTTTGTATCATCAGAAAAGAGGAGTAATGGAGTTAATTTCTTGAGCATCAGTGGACTTTAGAAACAGCTCTTCTTAATATATTTATATGATTTAAAAACATATTTTAAAAGGTTTTGGCAATTAATCGTGCAGAACATCAAAAAGTGCTTTCTGTGAAGCTTGATATCAAAGAAGATAGAAGACGGGCTGTAATTAATCAATTAATTCAATTAAATATTCCAAATAAGTGCTCAGGTATTAAATAATTTTATTATTGTTATTTATTATCATTATTTGATCACATTTTTTTCACAATACATGTGTCGCTTATAATCAAATTGTTTTCTATACTCACATGTTTTTTAACTCTCACTGGTTGTTAATACAAAATTTTAATACAAAAATCACTTTTGTAAATCTTTTTTAAAATAAAAAAGTGATAAAACATTCCTTAAATGTTTTCAAGACTTCTTAGAATTTTTATCTATTAGTCTGGTGTTGATGTAAAAGTTTCATTGTTTCCTTCTAAGGATTTTGAACACTTTAACTATTTTTAGTTGAATTTTTTGTTTCAGCATTAAAAAGATGAGAGGGTTTAATGAACATTAGAAAAAAAAATAACCCACTTAATTAAAGTGTCCCCTTAAACTTAGTGAAGGGATTATCTAATTTTTTAAAATGATTGCAAGCATCCCCAAACAGTTCTGTAACACTTTCTGTATCTTCTAATAAGGTACAGTAAAAAAAAGCTTTAGAATGTTTTAAAAAAGTTTTCTTGTTATTTATTTATAAAAAAGTAATTAAAGTTATTAAAAGTTATAAAATTTTATTACTTAAAATTTTGGTGTATTTTCTACATGGTCACAGACAAGCAGTGAGTACTTTATGAAACAATAAAGTTTACATAGATTAAAAGAATTTGTTTTCAGAATTAGTTTTAGCAGAAAAAAATAATCAAGGCCAATAGATAAACAGTCTTAATTAAATTCCTTTAAAAACAAATATTAAGAACAGACAAACAAACAATATGCAAGATAATATATATATATATATATATATATATATATATATATAATATATATATATATATATATATATATATATATATATATATCTGTGTGTGTGTGTGTGTGTGTGTGTATATATATATATATATATGCCTATAGTAAAGGTATTAAATATACCGTTTGTGGTAAAAAACAACTCTTAGCTACTCTATGGTAAATCAACAAAATTAAGGGTAGATTATAATAAAACTCATTAATTTAATTGAGGAGATTAATTAAGTTTAATGTGTTTTTAAAAACCACATATACACAAATTAAAAGACTAGAATGTTTTTAAAAACATTCTAGTCTGTTTGTTTCCGAATGTTTTTATTTTATTTGGGAGCTATTTAGGCCATTTATTTGGGTATTTTGACGCTTGAGCAAAAGGTAGATCTTAATATTTTAGGAAATTTTTTTTGTAATTGTATTTTTTATTTTTTTAATATTTGCCTCAAGTTTGGCTTCTTGTGTATTCACATTATAAATTTTTTTTTAAACACCTCTAATATATAGCTTCATAAGATAAAACATGACATTTTTATTTAAATATATTTATACACATATTATTTTAATGACTAATGAACTTTTAGATAGCTATCGTCATTTTATGATTGAAGTTGTAAACGATGCATTTGCTAGATTGATTGAAAAATCATTTCTTCTTCGCATCAGGTTGGTTTAGTTTTAGGTTTATGAAATTATAAGTTACTTATGTAACATTTAATTTTAATATTTGTTTGTAATAAAATTTGTTTGCAGTTACAAATCTTTGTTATAAAATTTGTTTGTATTTTTGCCAACAGATCTTGATTTCATATTAAGATATTATAATATTATTGTTATATTATAATAGATATTATAATATTATTGTATTATAAATAATATAAATGTTATTTTTGCAAATTATTGTTTTTTTTTAAATCAAAACAAATGGTTGTAATAGTAGTTGTTACATTTTTAATTTTAAGGAAAAAGTTGAACAAATCAGCAGAAAAAGAAGCATTGGATGTGTTTGTTAAAAACCTTAAACATCTTTATCTTGCTGCACCAGTTAAAAATAGAGTTATACTCAGTATTGATCCTGGTTTTAAAAATGGCTGTAAAATTGCACTTCTTGATAAAAATGGTAATTTTGTTTTCGTTTCATTTTTTTTTTATATTATTTAAAGTGCAGGGTGTTTGCCAGGAATATTTTTACAGTATTTTTGTGATATTGCAAATATTTATTGTTATTGTTCTACAAAATATTGGTAATTATTATTGATATTGTTCTATTACTTTTTTTAAAAAAAATAAGATCATAGAATTTTAGTCATAGAATTATAAACCCATTAAGAATTACGTGGTATACACGGTACTGAGCTGGCTAACACCCTGAAGTACAATTTTACTTATTAAAAATATCAAAATAAATAATATTAAAAAAACCCAAGCAAGTATAGATAATTATCTATGATGATAATGGTTTATAGAAAAATAAATTCTCTTTTTTTAGGTTTTGTTCTTGAAACTTGTGTTATTTTTCCATTCAAAAATAAACTGGATTCTTTTCAAATACTAGCAGGTTTAATAAAAAAATACCAGTAAGCATTCCTACATTTGTGCCTAAACTTTTTATTGATAGAATGATAAACTGATTAAAATACTTCAAATTGTGGTGTTGGATGTTGTTTTTTTTTAAAAGGAAATTTTCTAATAAGAAAAAGTATTTATATTGTTTGAAAATTTAATTATTGCATTAACATTAAAAAATTGTTTTGGACATATATTTTAAATATTTTTCATAAAGTATACTTTAGACATCCACAGCAGCAGTCAGATTACTCTACACATTTTTAACAGTGATAGTATTAATTAAAATGGTGGTAATAATTAAACAGTTTCTTGAGGCATGATGGTGACATCATTTATTTGCTGCATAATCCTCAGTGAATTGCTTAAAAAGATGCGTGGGCCATAAAAATTGCAAAACTGTCAATAAAATAGTTTGCATAATTATTTGCATTAAAGTTTCCCAAATTAAAAACTGTTTTTCACAATTTATTTTTTGTTTCAAGTATTCTGATTATAAATGTCAAATATTACAGCACAACAGTTTGATTGACAGTTTTACTATCATAGTTTTCTAATCAAATAAAAAACATCTTTTGCTACCCACCCAAATCATTGCCATTTCACCCACCCAAATGTGTAGTCAGAATTTTTATAATGGGAAGTACATGAAATATTTTTTCTCTTTATTTATAAAATTTTTGAATTATAGAGTTGAAATTGTGGCTTTGGGCAATGGGACAGCTTGTCGGGAAACAGAGCAATTTATTAGTCAGCTGATTAAAGAAGAAAAATTAGACAACTTGCGATACTGGTATTTTGATTTGTTAAAGTTTTGAAATTTATCTATTGTGTATATTCAAGTATTTCAACATTTATGCTTTTTAACTCACTAAAGTTGACAGTTTACAATAAATATGAATATTCAATGAGTTAAAATTGTAAAAAATATACAAGTTTTAATTAAGTAAAAAAAATTTAGAAACTATGAAAAGTTGTAAACAGAATGCCAGGTTAAACAATAGGTTTAATATAGTTATTGCTAGGTAATATTGTTGGCAATATTGCTTAAATAATCATGAATTTCTGCATTTTTCATTTTTTCTGTTCACTTATCTTCTACACTTTTTATATACCACCACCCAATGCTAGTTTAAGGATACTCAAAATGGTTAATGTTATACAAAATACTAGGTAAATGAAACTTAATTTGAAAAAAAAAGAATCTATTTGCATTCAATTTTATCTCAATATTATTAAATAGAATTTTTTTGCCTATAGTTCCACTAAAACCCCCCTTCAAAACACTAGTTCCACTAATACCCTCCTTCAAAACACTATAGTTCTACTAATACCCTCCTTCAAATATAGTTCCACTAATACCCTCCTTCAAATATAGTTCCACTAATACCCTCCTTCAAAACACTATAGTTCCACTAATACCCTCCTTCAAAACGCTATAGTTCCACTAATACCCTCCTTCAAAACACTATAGTTCCACTAATACCCTCCTTCAAAACTTTAATCTGTTTTTTTTATTTGCTTTTGAATAAGTAATTAAAGAAAGTTAAAGTGTCTTCGGAGTAAAAAATAAATGAGAAATTAAAAATTCTTTTAACCAAAGAGTGCAACTTTTTAAGAGATTTTTCATAGACATAAAATGTTAACAGTTAGTGGAAGCATTTAAATAAACTTAGTTGGCTGCAATCAATTTGTAATTTAATCAAAGATTTTAGAGAAAGTTTTTGAGATATTCAAATCGTTCCTTTCTAACTACTTTATTAAAGTCATCCTCCAAGGCCAACATTCTTCTTTATTTCCAGTAACTTCTGGGGTACCTCATGGTTCTATCCATGGTCCTATTTTGTTTCTTTATCAATGATCTACATCAATGATCATCCCGACAACCTTGCATCTATAGTCTTTTTGCTGATGACTCAATTTTATACTCTTGTCTTGACAAAAAGTCTTCTCTTTTCCATCACTTAGAACAGGCAGCCGATCTTGAATCTGATCTCACTTCTGTAACAGATTGTGGCTTGTAAATTTCAACTCCAACAAAACTCAGTTATTTACTGCAAACAACTATCACAATACTGTCGATATTCTTATATTGATAAATGGCAACCCTCTCACTGAGTCTTCTTTACGCCTTTTTAGACATAAAGAAGAGAACTCGTTATTGTTTACACTGACTTTTCATGGAAACCAAATATAAAATCATTATTGTATTCGCCATTTTCTTACTCTTGATTAAATTCTCTGCCTCTGCAAGTCTTTTATTTGTCTCTGTATGAAATACTGTTGTCATGTTTGGGCTGGTTCTTTTGATGATTCTTTTTCACTTCTAGACAAATTCCAAAAATGCATTGTAAACCTAATTTGACCCATTCTGCAAAGCTTGAGCCTCTCTCCCATTGTCGCAAAGTTGCATCTCTTTTTTTATTATATCATCTTTTTCTTTTTCTACATATACTATCATGGTCACATTATTTCTTGTTCTATCAACTAAAATTTGTTTTTGCCTGATTTAATTGTCATTTAGCATATCTCATTCGTTTACTGTATCTTTCCCTGCATGCTCAAAAAACTTTTATTTATTTATGTTTTCCTGACTCATACATTCTACTACTTTTCAAGTCTTCTGTCAACCGTTTCCTTGCTCTATAACTCTATTATTTTTTTCTAGTAACTCCCAACTTAATACAAATAAAGTACAGAATAACATCTGCTTTTTATAGTTATTACATTTAGAAAATTTTACATATATTGTTTATATTTCTTGTATTGCAGTTTCAGTAATTTATTTAGATGACTCTAAATCGGAGTTGACTAGGACAATGTTAAATGTTTTAGAAGTAAGAAAGCAAACAGATGTTAAAAATACAGATGTTAAAAGTTGTTACATTTTTAATTAAATAACTTTAAGCTAATTTCTCGGACCCAGCCAGAAGGCCAGAACTTTCTAGAACGTTATAGAACTGTCCAAAAGTAGTCATAATAAAAATAAAGCACAGGTGACTCTAACCAACAGTTCATGTTATTGGGGAATAAAAGAATTACTTAATTCTTTAAAAGAGAAGTAAGAAGTTAAGTAAGCAAGAACAATGTGAAGTGGGAGTTGCTGATAGAGCCTCAGAAAGTGTTTATGCGACCACTACATGTAAATTTAAATGTTTCAAGATAATCAATATATCTTGATGAAAAGACTCATCCTCAGTATTTTCATCAAAAGATATATGTCTGCATTTTGGAGTTATTTAGTGAAAGTTACTTTCAGTACACTCACAAATCTAAAAAATATACTTATTTCAAATGTTTTTTGAATAATCCCTTAGTGCTTATTTAAAATCTAATTGTTGTTTCTTATTAGATTGAATGAAATTATGAAATTCTTTTTTAATAAAATGAACTTTCTTCCTACAAAAAGTAGAGTACTCAATGTTCTTTAAAAACAGAGCAATAATAAATTAGTAAAAAAACGCTTATCTAACTTAAGCTTCTACTGGCCTCCATCAGCAGAATCATCAGGAAAGTCTAAATTTAAAAAAAGTATATATTTGTAGAACAAAATTTTCACATGTATTTTTTCAAATCTGTATTTTTCTGTAAACAGGAAATTAAATACAGTATTTTTTAAAAAACAGTTATAAAAAAGAATTCTTTAGAAAATATATATATATATATATATATATATATATATATATATATATATATATATATATATATATATATATATATACACACATACAGAGTGTTACCCAGGAAAAAATTTCATACAGCGTTTTTGCGAAATTGGAAATTTAGGTTCCGCCAAAAAAAAAAAAAAGCTCCTTACATTCTGCTATTAAATTTTAATCAAAATAAACTTTCTATTATTGCTGGAAGTTACATTTACAGCAGGATTATTTTTCTACTTTATATATGTTTAATTTTAATTAATCAACTTGTTTCATTATGAGCAATCTTCTGAAGTTTTCATTTAAATTGCTTCTTTTCTTTGTTTTTGATATACTGCAGCCGTTTTTCAAAACGCCTTAATTACGTATTTTGAGAAAAGCACAATTAAAAAATACACCCTGATATATATATATATATATATATATATATATATATATATATATATATATATATATATATATATATATATATATATATATATATATATATATATATATATATATATATATATATATATATATATATATATATAGTGTATATACCAGCAACAGCTTTATCAAATATTTGCCTATTTAAACTGGAAATTAGGCTTTTAGCTATTTCGTATGAAAGCTGTTAGTCTAAAGAATAAAAAAAGGTCTTTTATGGATGACCCCCCTTTATCGCTTTTTTTTAATGTCTAAATAAAAATATTTTAATAATTCTTATTTTTATTTAGTTATGTATATTTGTATATCAACCAAAATAAGAATACATAAGCAAATAAAAAAACAATAATATAAATAGTTTTAATTAAAATTTAAAAAAAAATAGAAGACTTTTTTTCTAAATTTTTTTAATATAAAATGTTTTCAGTTAGAACCTTGTCAAACCGATGCGACGAAATAAGAATTAATAACGTAATTTATTTTGTTAATGAAAAAGTCAGTACTTTAGTAAATGGATGTAGTTTTAACTTGCGTTACACATATTTAGAATACGAATTTTTTAACTAAATTTTAGAAAAAACAAAACTTTATCATGTTTTTGTTAACTTGCATTACATGAAAGTTCTTTTGTTATTTTTATTGAAATATATATATATATATATATATATATATATATATATATATATATATATATATATATATATATATATATATATATATATATATATATATATATATATTATAATGTGTAAAATCTGACCAACAATAATTTGAATATGTTAGCTCAATTTTCAAATTAGATTAATTCCAATTATGCAAATAAATTCATAATTACAGTTTGTATAGTTAAGTTGACAGAAAAAGTAATATTAAAAGGTGTTCCTTGTTTTTTATATATAAATAAAACATAGATCTTCGATTGTTTTAAAAATTAGTAAAAATAAACCTACTTTTAAATCACATAGTTGCATAATTTATAACCAATAACTCTGTAGGAACCATGTTAAATTTGCCTTCATAATTGTTTTGTTTTTACTTTTAGTATTGTTTGTGAAAGTGGTGCTTCAGTGTACAGTGTCACAGAAGAAGCTAAACTGGAGTTTGGAAACATGGATCCTAATTTAATAAGTGCTGGTTTGTATATTTAAATAAAATGTGTGCATATATATATATATATATATATATATATATATATATATATATATATATATATATATATATATATATATATATATATATATATATATATATATATATATATATATATATATAAATACTTTTTTATAAAGTGGTCACTGAAAGTAATTAACTTATCCTAATATTTTTAGTAGATAGTCTTTTAGTGTTCATTATTAATAAAAAAGAATTAATGTTTATTCACTATTTTTAAGTGTCAATTGGTCGTCGACTGCAAGATCCTTTGTTAGAACTTGTTAAAATTGATGCTAAACATGCGGGTGTGGGAATGTATCAGGTATATATGTATGTGTATACTTATATATATAAAACCATTGTTTTTTGTCTAACTATTGTTATGTTAAGGGACTATTTTTTTGCCGACCTGATGTCAATCTCTAAAAATTTGGTCTGCAAATTATTGCTGACCTCATTTTCCCTAATTCTGAGGGTTGTATATATATATATATATATATATATATATATATATATATATATATATATATATATATATATATATATATATATATATATATATATATATATATATATATATATATATATTAAGCCTATCAGAAAGTTCTGTCCGTTGATATAAAATTAATTTTCATGTTATACAGATGTAGCAAATCAACTCAAACAAATTTATTTTACATTTGTCTGGATTATAAAGTGATATTGTAAACATGGCTATTGATAAAGTTCATTTCTCTGTTATTTAAACAAATTTCAACAAGGAAGAAATGTTACAGAAGCCTGTAGAAGTTTATTAAAAATGTTTGATGAAATACTTTTTCAGATGGGACATGTAGAAGATAGTTTCGAAAATTTTTAACTGGTAATTTTGACTTTTCTGATCAGTCACCTTTTGGATGTCCATCTTTGATTGACAATGTTTAAAAAAATGTTGTTTTGATAATGTTATTTTGATAATGTTATTTTACATGGCGGTTATTTTCGCTAAGGATGATTATAAGGCAAGTAAACTATAAACTAATCTAATGGGATATTATATATTAATTTCTTTTGTAAACCTAATAAATAAGAAGATAACATAATTCAGTTTAATTTTGTTTTCGACTCCTCTCCAAATAGTAAAACTGTTTATTTGTAAATTTGATAACTTATATCGAAAAGTATGACCATTAAAATAATATATATATTAGAACTAACAGAAAGTTCTGTCTGTCTTCGGAACAAAAAAAAATACAAATTTTTGATATTATGCAATAAAATTTTCCAGCCTAGCTCTACAATTTTTTGTCAAGCCCCCAATCCAACATGCGGCCTGGCATTATCATGATGCAATATGGTTTCTTTCCTATTAAACATCGCAGTTCCTATTAAACATCTCTACTTGGTCGGAACTGGTTCAGTTCCGACCAAGTAGAGATATGCATATGACAACTCAATCATCCATATTTTTCTGATTTAAATATATGTGGCACCACCTTGAATATTTCCATAATAATCCTATCTTTTGAATATGTTCCAAAATAGTTTGCTGAGCTAATTTAGGTGTTTCTTCAATCTTGGATGTTGTCAGAAAAGGATCTTATTCTGAATAATAATTTTTTCATATAAAAATTATTATTTTAGATTTTATTGCATAATAACTATAGTTTTTTAACTAAAAGTGGAAAAGGTGCATTTTTACATGTTTTTTTAATAACAATTTTTTTCGGCAATTTGATTTTTATAAAATGATTATTATTTTTGAATTTTTTATAAAATTTCGCTTCTTTTGAGTACCAGGTTGACTTTTGAAAAACTTTTTTTCTCCAAAATATTAGGGTACCGGTAATTTTCCCAATAAAGTTGCGCCCTTTAAATCTATCACAATCATTCTCATATTTAATAGTATCAATATTAATAACGATCTTCCAGATATTCTCACATCTAAGGTGGCATTGTTTGCTGATGATACTACCATTTATTCTTGTCACAATAAGAAGCCAACTCCCTCTGATTGCTTGCAGGGGGCATCTGAGCTTGAAAAGGATCTCACTTCTGCTACAGCATGGGGCTCACAGTGGCTGGTGAACTTCAATTCAAATAAAACTCAATTTTTTTCGGCCAATCGTTATCGCAATAATTTAGACCTTCCTATATTTATGAACGGTAATGTACTCGATGAGTCTCCTACCCTTCATCTTCTAGGATTAACTCTTACTTCTGATCTTTCTTGGAAACCTTATATCAAATCCGTTGCAAAATTAGCATCTGCTAAAGTTGCTTCTCTTTATCGAGCTCGTCACTTTCTTACTCTGGATTCTATTCTCTATCTCTATAAATCTCAAATCCGGTCTTGTATGGAATACTGTTGCCATATCTGGGGCCGATCTTCTAATGATGCCCTTTCTCTTTTAGACAAGGTGCAAAAATGCATTGTAAACATAGTTGGACCTGCTCTTGCAGCCAACCTTCAACCTCTGTCACATTGTCGTAATATTGCTTCTTTTTCTCTTTTCTACAAATACTATAATGGGCACTGCTCTAAAGAGCTAGCGTCTCTTCTGCCATCTACTAAAATTCATTCTCGTGTTACTCGTCATTCAGTTAAGTCTCATTCTTTTTCTGTTACTGTTCCTAAGTGCTCCAAAAACTCTTATTCATCTAGTTTTTTTCCTTGAACATCAGTTCTTTGGAATTCGCTTACCTCATCTTGCTTTCCTGATTCATATAATTTGCAATCTTTTAAGTCGTCTGTCAATCGTTATTTTGCTCTACAATCTTCATCTTTACTCTTCCAGTAACTTCCAACACTAATTAGTTGTTGCTTGCAGCCTTGTTGGAAGCGAAGATTATTAAAAAAAAAAAAAAAATCAACTATTAGCAATGTTTAGAGCCTGTAACAAGAAAAAAAAATTTTTTGATCCACCCTAATATATATATATATATATATATATATATATATATATATATATATATATATATATATATATATATATATATATATATATATATATATATATATATGTATATATATATATATATATATATATATATATATATGTATGTATGTATTACTTTATTTTGGTTACTACCCACTCAAGTTAACTCTAACTCATAAACACAAACCTTGACGAACAAGACTGCTGTGCAGAGAAACAAGTTAAGCCCAGTACTACAAGGGATGTTATGGAAAAATCTTATTTGGCATTAGTGAAAATGCATTTAAGTTTAGATTTAAAAACCTATTAAAATCCTTTAATGCAACCAGATATTAAAAAGATACAAAACTTTCTAATGAAATCAGTAAACATAAAGATGAGCATTTCCGAAAAAAAGACATACTTCTTTAAAATACAAACAACAACTTTAAACAACAATTATGTATTTAATTATTATTATTTAAGATCGATCAAAGGTATATACTGTAAAAGAATTTTTTTGCCAGAACGTTAGTAAAAAGAAATACAAATATAAAATGTTTAATAGTTCAATTCCAAATTTGAAGAAAAACCGCCATTGCTGCTGCTGTCGTTGCTACTGTTGCTTGTTTCTATTTTAGGATCAGCTACCTTTATTGATTTAAAAACGATAAAGGTAGCTGATGAGGCGAAAAACTCTTCACTTACTTAGGTAGATATTGATGACACTATTTAAAATCTCGTCTAGTTTATGAATGGTAAAATTTGGGTCATTCCCGGTTATTAATATTGAGTTTTCCATAGTCTGGTGATTCATCTTTAAACGTAGATCAGTTAGAAATATAGTCAAGATACTAAAAACAGGAATGAGAGCAAGATATGCACATAACAAAATCAACTAAAAGAAGTAGGTTTGGATACTCTATTTAATGACAGAAAAATATTTTCTGCCATAGTTGTGAAGCTGTGACTCCATTATAATCTGTTTTTTTTTTTTTTATTTTAGCCGCTTTTCATTCGGAACTAACTAGTTTAAAGTCCAATTTTGCGGTTTCTAAAAGAATTTTGAATTCGCTAAGCAGTAAAGATATGCTGACATCACCATACATATTATCTTCAGTCCAAAGTTGTGAGTCTAACCAATCCTTTGTTTGGAAGATAGGTGGGTCTAACCAATCCATTGCTTCGAAGATAGGTGAATCTAACCAATCGATTGCTTTGAAGGGTTTAAGAAAGAGCTAAATCTTATATCTATCAATGGTAAAATGACGTCGATTGCGGTTCTTCTTACGCATACACCAGAACTAATATTTTCAATGTTAAAGTTTGCAATACCTTCAAGCTCAATTTCTACAAACTCTGGATTTGATTTTTTCAACTCGTGACCACTTTTAAAGTAAGAAGAAACAAGATTGGTTAAACCATCTTTTTTAACAGTTCTAAACTTAGTTAAATACAAATCAATAATATCATCGATTTCTTCATTTCTTGAATTAACTAAATTAGCCTTGGTTAAATCCAATGCTGGTTTAAATTCATGTACCATCAACGTATTTTTTTCAAATGCCAACAATAATGGGCTTAACTTCTCTAAAACGTCTAAATAACTACAAACCATACATAATAGTCTGTGGTCATGAAGATGCTTAGATATCCCAGAAAGTTTAGCGTGCATTTCGGCATTAATACCGCGATTCTCAAAAGCGTTTTCCAAACCCACAATAAGGGAAGGCCAGTTATGCAATAATTTGGAAGATCCGCGTTTCCTATGGCTGATAAAGCGCCTTCCCAATATTTTGGGCAATGTATAATGCGTAATGTTTAATGCCTCCGCGGCTTTTTTAATTTCACTTTTTATTTTTCCGGAATTGCAAAGTAAATTAAATAAAGTTAAATAAATGCGTTCGCACTCTTTATACTCGACAATTTCTTTTACAGCACTTTTTATTGTCAACTCCAATCGGTGGTTAACGCAGTGAATCATGGCGAGCCAGGGTCTATTGCTTTTCATTTGAGTTAACACTCAAAATGCCCAAATTGACGCTAGCTCTGTCGGATGTAACGCTGACAACTTTGTTTTTGTAAGCTTCATCAGTTAAAGGAATATTCCCCGTTTTATTGAAAATGCTATCAATAGCTTTTTTAATAGCATTAATGCCTGTACCTCCCATATTATTCATCTCTAGTAGAGATACAACAAAATAGGCAGGGGTCCCTTCTCGCTCAATGCGCACAAGAACCAACTCTTTCTCGTCTCTAGTTTTTCTGGCTTGTGATCGATCAGAAAGAATAGAAAAAAAATTTTTTCGTTGACCATTTTTGCAACTTTATCTTTAATGGCATCTGCTATGCATGAGAAGAAAATACGTGCTGAAATTTAAAAGTGAAAAATATTTATGCTATAAATAATTTACAAAAAAAAATAATAAAAATTCAATATGATTTTCGTCAATTCTATTAGTAATTATGAAATTAAACCATGAAACAAAATAAACACCATTTAGTTTTTGGCATTTAATCTCAAAGTTGTTATGTGACATATTTGGTTTTAAAGCCATTTCATACGCTGTTGTGATCATCTTAAAATACCCTTCACGGTTGTTTTACTCAGCAGTTAATGAGTTTGGAATATCAGTGATAATAAGACGGCCATTTCCAGTTCCTTCAGTAGGGGTTTCATTATCGATTAGTACCGATTATTTGTGAATATGCCCTTTAAGATGAAAAATATTTGAGATTCTATAAGATGAGGAATAATTACACATAAACAAAATGAAACTATTTACCTCAGAATAAACATTCAATCAAATATTATAATTAAAAATTTAGTATAAAGTATTTCCTGAATTGAACAAAATAAGTTAATGATTTTAATTTTTACATGATGTTTTGTTACCACATTCGTTCCCCCTGTAAACGCCTCCAAAGAATCAATTTCTGCTCCGTTAACTGAAGGTTCTCTTTGTGCAAGGAGCAAAATAGCTATTT